CTAGAGATCGAAATCCAACTCTTTTCAATGACAGTTCAGTGACTTAACCACACAACCATCTTGATTTCTTATACTGTTACTAAGTGATTTTTATGGCAATCCCGAGTCCAAGTTAATCTTTAATAGTTCTCTATTTGCATTCGAAAAGAAAAAAATTGCAGATTTTTATACGCGTGTATTTGTGAAAGACGAGTATCATGTCATAAGCGAAAGCAACATTTGACAGTTAAGATATGTCGAAAGAAAAAAGGTATCTTCAAGTTAGGCAATTTCAAAGATAAAATGGAACAAATTGATTGAATTTATTGTATTTCTTCTAAAATGTTGCTTGAATATATATCTCTACAATTTTTATGGTTTTAAGCAACTATCATCACAGCCTCCAAAAATTTAAAAAAAATCTCAAGCTGCACAAGCTTCTTTCTAAAGAAATACTTTGATATGAAAATATTATTGTTACCGTCATAATGTTTTTAGAATACTTATAGATTAATGAAGTTTTTAACTGCACCGCGCAATTTAATTTTGGAAAACCAGCAACAGCTATGTAACTCTTTTAAATACGATCTTTTGCAATTACTTAATTCTTGTCTTATATTTGTAGAAGAACAATATGCCTAATTTTTTTTTAAATCTCTGATTAAATTTGATTTAATTAAACTGCGAAATTATGTTTGCTTACGACTGAATATCAGTCCATGACTGCAACTTGATTTTTTGTCAATCTATTGGTGCTAAGTCCTGCTATGGATAATACAGATAAAAGGCACAAGTTATCTGGAAAGAACTGAACAAGCAGTTCAGAGAATTGACGAACAATACAAAGCAGGTTTAAAAAATAAATTAAAATCAGCTATGAAATTTATTGTACTACATTTCATTGTTTATAAATAAATTTGAGGCAAAAAGCATGACATGAATTAGCTAAGTGATGCCTCGGCAGTTTCTGGTGTTAGCGAGTAATTGGAGAAGACCCTGAGGTTAAAAAAAATCTGTTCGACTTATTAAATACACACAGTAGTAATATACATTTTTAATAAAAATTAATTTAATAATTCTGAATAATAAGAGTAATAAAGCATAACAAAGCTTTAAACATGTTTCATTTATTGATCTTAGTGTTGATTTTACATGCATATAGTAATTTTTAATAAATAAAGATAAGACTTGCAATCAAAGATGGTAAAATTCGGTTGTCATGCAGTTGGTGATGTTGTATAATTTTGGAGTCATACAGTTTTGTAATGATGACTTTGAAAAATCACTTATTTCTCTCACATTCGGCTGCTCTTAACTGATTTAAGATTTTAAAAAACTAGTAAAGTCTTCAGTTCTTAGAATCACACAGTCAGAAATTGTCCAAATATTTGGGAGACTATCAATTTGGAAATGCATACTTTTGGAATCACAAAATCTGTAGTTTTCGTTTTGTTGGGGAGTCTTTAGTCGGTTAATGCATAGTATTAGACTCACACAGATGCGAAAAGTCACACAATCGGGAAATGTATGCTTTTGTAGTCACATATTCGGAAATTTTTTGTCATGGTCGGGAATTGTCACAGTCGGGAAAAGTCATAATCGGGAAATGTCACAGTCAGGAAAAGTCCTATACTCAGAAATTGCATACTTTCAGAGTCACAATGGGTACTTTTGGAGTCACAAATTTGAGAAATTTTGTCTAAGTTCGGTAGTCCAAAGTCGGGAAATGTCTACTTTCGGGTTGACTCTGTTTTTTAATATTTCCTCATGAAACACCCAGTAAATAGGCGTCTCACAAAGTAACGGAGACTTTTCCTCTCTTTCTTTCTCGCCTTTTCTCTTTTCTCAGCAAAATCTGGGTTTTGGACCAATTTTTCCTCCAGACTTTTTGTCAAAAGAGAAATATCTCCGCAACTGTAAGGAATAATCCATTTATTGTTAAACAATCCACAAGAAAGTTACTTATGTATTTACATCAGAATTTAATTATTTCTTTTTTATTAAACTTGCAATTGAAAAAATTGCAACAAATATTGTTAAAAAAATAATTTTATTGATAATTGCGTTAACTAATAAGCTTGGCTAGGAATTTGTAGAAAGAACGTTGTATTATTTCTTATTATAACAAAATCCAAAGTTAATCTAATCTTGACCTTATCCTTAATCATTGAAATACCTTAATCTTATCATAAAATTTTTTTAATGTTACAATCATAGTACATTTGATTTTATTATTCAAAATCATAGAATCTAACAAATTAGAAAAACATGCACAATAAATTATGCGTAATTAAATATAAAGTAATTTAAGAAAGAAAATTTAATTATGAACAATAGATATGATGCCTAGATGTACCTGGATGTTTTATTTTTGAAGTGTAACGGAAAATGTCACAATTTGTAATCAAACAACCTTGTATAGTGTAGTGTCTTATTTTAAATACACTAATTAATTAGTCCCAACAGTACTTGAAATTGCTTACTTTCTCTGAATTAACTTAAAATTTTTAGGACAGATTAGAATTTTTACCCCCTTCCAAATATCGATAGTTGCTGTGCTGAAATTAGAAAAATTCAAATACATATTATGAATTTATTTTACGTATTCTAGACACCATTAAAAATTTTGTTTTATGGTTGCATCTTTAAGAGCTATTTCTTTTAAGTAATTTTTAAAAAACATTTAAATTGTTTCTTATGTTTACTGAATGAATACATCATGCTCGATTGTCCATGAAAAACATCATACTTAGTTAGTCAATATATAAAATGCAAAAAATTAAAGAAAATGTATTTTAAATACTTTACCATGTGCATAAATAGTGTCAATAAATTTAAATTTTTTTTTCTCTAAGCTTTTACTCGTATTGCCAATTTATACTACTTAAAAGCATGCTTGATTACTATTTATAATTTCTTTTGTTTAAAAGGAAAACGCGGAATTAAATAAATAAATTATAAATTATGCTTTTAAGGCACATAGAAAATCACATTAGTGGTTTAAATTCACAATCAAAGAAATGCACTTATTTAAATAAGATGGATAGCAATTAATTGATACCTCTTTAATCCAACCACAATATCCAGTGATTCTTTCACTTTATTAGCCTTGGCCAGTATTTTCCTTTCCCTCGAATCAATCTCGAAGTACCAATGGCCGCTTCTATCACTACTAAAATTAAAGAAGAAAATTAATTTAATATTAAAATTTATGCGCTTTTAGCTAAAAGGAGAAGAAATAAAAACTTGAACACATTATTAACTTTTTATTGCAAGATCGGATTTTCATGAAGGCAAAGAGTTATGCGACTTTCCTCAAATGTGCTAAAATATTTGTGCAGGCATTAATTATAAAGTTTTGAAATCAGATATAGAAACGTTTATTTACATGCATTTCTTGTGACGGAATAGGAACCTCTATTTTCATAGGAGGGAAGGTGGCAATTTTAGACAGTTTATTCTAAAGTTATTCTATGCAAAATATTATTCTTTGTAATTAATTATTATTTTTTAAAAACACAAATGGTTTAAACTTTTTGAAAAAAATTTTTTTTTGAAAACAAATTATTAACCAAATTTTATCTAAGAAATGTTAAAAAACAAAATACAGAAATTGAAAAAAATAATTGAATAGCTCTTGAAAAATAAAATTTAAAAGTATGAACACTTTGAGATAGCAAAATCTGCAAGAAGTAAAACTAATTTTAAGGTGTAAAAGCTCTCAACAGATCTTTTAATAGAAAGTAAAACTGATCTATCGAGCTCATGATTTCTAGATTGTGATTATTTTGAGATAATAAAGTAGATAAATTGATAAAACGTTCATATATAAAAATATATTTACACTAAACGGAATTGCATTCAATGAATAAAATAAAATTATGAGAGCGAAACTTCGTTAGTGCAGAAAATCGGGTTTTGAATTTTGGATTAAAAATACTGCCACTATTTAAGAGAAATCTCATGAAAATGGAAGCGGAAAATATTTATTCTATTTCAAGATGAATGAAATAGAATGTAGTTTATTTGTTTCTCGAAGAAAATAATTTAAAAAATTAGAATAAAATAAAATTATAATTTCGGACCATAAAAATTTAAATTTGATGTATTAACTAATTGATGACTCATTCTATGTAAGTTAAAAATATGATTTTAATTACTCATTCATATCCACAATCTCTTTTTCAAGAATCACTTGTGACTCTTTAGGCTCAATTTCAGCCGGCAATTCCTCAATATTTTCGCTAAAATTAAGAAAAGAAATTAGTGCATGGAATAATTATCTCAAGATTAACAAATGCCTTCCCTGTTAAAATGAGCTTCTCAAATTTGTGAAAAAATGTGATAGAATAGCTCCAAAGAATATATAATTAAAATTGAAATTTTTTGTTAATTCCTCTAGGTTAATTATTTTTTTGTAATTCATCTAGGTCTAATCAGAACAAATTCATTCAGTTTGTACTTTTTAAATAAATTATAAATATATATTTTCTATTCATTCCACTGAAAAAGTTTGCGTGCAAAAGGGTAGTATTTGTTTTAAAAATTACAAAGTTTATAAAATTTTGTTTAAAATTTTTAATCACAATAATATTAAAACTATATAAATTACCTATTCACTATAGCAACACCTTCAGCATCAGATGAAGATAACTCTTTTTGCTCTATTTCAGCACTCATTTCTACCAAGTCATCCCTAAAGATAAAAAAATAAAATTACCATATTATACAGTTAACACGTCAAGTTTAACATGTAGTATAATAGCATGTCTTTTATTAATAAGAATTAAATCATACTTTTCTGAATTTTGCACAATTTATTTTAAATCATCAAACTGTGATTATCATAAATTTTTTCAATTTGCCTTTCTTAAAAATCATTCTACACAATTATTTTCTAAAGTTTCCATCAAAAGTAGCAACATAAATACTATTCAATATACGATACAGAAAATCACTAAATATTTAAAATCTCACTAAAGACAATTAATGCAACAATGAAATAAAAGCTAAATAGACTACCTATCCGAAAATTCAACATCTTCATCATCAGTTGTAGAAGACTCAGAATGCTCTATTTCAGCACTCAGTTCTTCCATATCATCGCTAAAGGTAAAAAAATGAAATTATCACATTATATTGTTTGCTTAACACATTTAATAGTAAAAAAAATAATATAGTATTAAGTCTTTTTTTTTTTCATGAGAATTTAAGCATATTTTCCTGCACTATATTTACCTATCTCATATAAAAGCTAATTAATTTAATTTACATAATTTAAAAGTTTTTTACTGATTTCAATATGAAAGTACGCATGCAAAAGTGTCATTCTGCTGTGCAATTAAAGAAAAACAGCATCGTAAGTTAGTTATCCGCAATAGATTTCCTTGACTTATTTTTCTTTATATTGCTAATTGTATGAACTCTAATATAAAATTTCAAAAACTAATAAACACAATTTATTTTTGAAAAAAAAATTGCGATTGGTAGCATACATTCAAAAATGCCAAATGCAAAAAAAATAATTATCTCTGTATCTCTTACGTTGTATTTTATATTGGATGGTAGTGTTTTGTGTACTAATATGCAACAAAGTTTGTTGAACATTTAAAGTAGCTTAAAATACAAATATTATGATCTCTTAACGATAATAACTCTATGTAGTACCTATCACTAGCATCATCCTCTTCCTCATCAGAAGTCAAATTAGACTCCTCACACTCTACCTCACTCTCTACCTCCAGCATTTCGTAGCTGAAAAAAGAAAGAAAATAATATATTTATAGATTAGATATTTATAGACAGAATATTTAATAATGTCAAGATGATCATCTTTCATCAGTTTCTTGCTCAACTCATATTTAAGCCATTATAGAAACTAGTTTAATGTAAAGTTGATATTAATGAAATAAATTTTGTTAAAAACATCTTTGAACATATTTTCATTTTTATATTAACATTTTATATCGATATTCAAATTTAATATTTTTTCTCCATATAACATATTCTAAATACAAAATCTAGTGCAATATTTTTTTTTTCAAATAATGATAATTAATCTAAATTATTTAAATGAGATAAATTATTTAATAGATAAATTATTTAAATGGGAATTTCGTTGCATTTTTTGAAAATGATTGTTTCTTTGTATTTATTTATTTTTTATTTTATTTTATTTATTTATTTACTCATTTTTTATTTCATTTATTTTTTATTTATCCATTTATTTATTTATTTAATTTGTATTTTATCTACTTGTTCATTTATTTTTCAAACTTTAAAAAATTATCTATTTTCTCCCAAAAGAAATTACACTATGTGGCAATCTAAATCAACTACTTACCCATCTGTTTCAGATGAACTACTGCTGGTGTCCTCAGCAAGAAATCCAGGCGCTAAAAATAGATTATTAATTAAATTTTAATTTAGCTTATTTTTGACTAAATTTAAATTTGGACAATGAAAATGTTTTATGATTATTAAACTTATAATAACTGGATAATCAATCACAAACTGAATCATTGCAACTAAATTTTCAAACACAAATGGAATAATAGTAACTGTATAACCTAGCTCATTTTATAAAAAAGAACTATTTATTATAGTTTTTAATTTATTATATAGTTATATTATAGTTTTTAACTAATATATAATTGCTTCAAATTAAAAAGGAGTCTAGTAACAATGTAGTGATTTATCTGAATTTATTTAAAAGTGAAGAATATTTTTTATGGAAGCACAAACAACAACATTTTCTTTCTAAACATCATATTGATGAGCTTAATTTTGTTTTAAAACTTCGGTTTAGTAAAAACAAATTTCTTTGCTCAATGTATAATAATTTAAATGTTTTGCGAACAGACACTTTAGAAATACTATTACTATTTCATCTCGGAGGCGTCAAAAATATCGTCCAACTATTAGTAATTCCAATCATGCTTAATTAATGACTTAGTAATTACTTATAATGTTGTGTTAGGTTCCTATTAGCCTAATGATAAAAATTAGTGCCACTCAGGTTGTCTTGTATTTTACACATGATACACCCAAAGTACATGTACTTTCTACCGTAATTGAATCTGTAATGATTTACAATTTAGTGCAACATGTGTTGCAACAATTAAAACCCTTATGAACTTGTATTATAAAAGTAATTTCTAATGAAGGAAAAATAAGTTGTAGAGTTAAAAAATTATTTTCATTCTTCTGAATATAAAATAGTTTTACAAAACAAATTCGCATTTCTAACCATTAAAAGGTAATAATATTTTTGTATTTGTACAAATAATAGCAGCTATTTAATATTTTTCTTTTCTATTTCTCATTGAAGTTTTTCATTTTGTAATACTTCTGTATGAAATTTACGGAAGAGTTTTCGTACTTTAATTCAATTCAGCTTCAGCGATTTTCAAATAAGATTAAATAAAAACATTTCTGCAATGAAATCACAATTTCAAGAAGTTAAGGATTGTCTAACCCAAAATAATATAGACTTCTAATAATGTAAATCACCACTTCCTGCTTAGTTCCAAAAAGTCTTAGATAGATCCTAATCAAGATTTGGTGATAGTCCGAAATTTATGTTACTTAAAATTTATGAAATTAATAGTTTTCATGCTTACGATAAGGCCTTGGATTTTTTTTCAACTCTTTTTGCCAGTGATTAAGCACAGCAAAACAAAATAATTCACTCATTTTCACAAATTATAAGTCACTTGTCAAAAAAGACGTTATTCACTTATAAAAGCTCAAATAAGAATGAGAAATTTATATTTTCTGTTATATTGTTGGTGTGATTAACAATTGTCTTTTTCGGCAACAATGTTTAAAAAGAACCATTAAAACAATGAACTAAAGAATAAAGTTTTATTTTACTCTATTAAGTATTGTTGTCATATTTAGTTGTTCCAAGGGTTTTTAAAGCAATTAAAAAAGAGACAACAATGACTAAAAAGTTCGGAACTGCAATTTAATATTTTGTAAGAATTCGAATGAAATATTTTAGTTATAACATGAAAATGACATTGCATTGATTAATTTTCCCTAATCATACTTTTTCAAGCTGAATTTCTTTATTATCAAGCAAATCAGAATTACTCGCTTTTTATATGAGGATTTTTAATTTTTTTAAATGAGAAAAAAATCTAATGCAAAAGTAAATTCACGTTTTTAATGTATGGCAAAACTATTTTTATTACAAAAAAAGGAACAGATCTTATTTATTTCATATTTTTTTTGTTTATCGCATTTTATTAAATCGTAATTATTGTTTATCGCGCTGTTATCGCAATTTATTGAAATTTTTGAACTTTAAACTATAGTTCTCATTGCTCGCACATTTAGAAAAAATACAATGCTGAAAAGTAAATTCAGCACAAAAATATGTCTCACGCCCTATGCTTAAGTAATGATTTTTAATTTTTGACCTATGGTCTACTAGTGACCTACCAAATGATCTTATTTCGCTTATAACAATTTTGAGACAATAAATTTAAAATGACAGTAAAGACAATTATTTTACACGATAACTGGATTGTACAACTAATGGCTGATATATATGAAGAATGTCTGCTTTTATGTTATGGTTTCGAATGCAATATTTAGTTCATTCGTATTCAGAAATGATTACTCAAAAATGAATCAACGAATTTTGATCAGTCTTATTTTCGAAATTATAATTAGGTATTTTTGCAATAAATTCAGCAATCTGAACCTCGAATTCTTGATTCAGATAAAGAGAAATACAATCATGTCCGGCTGAGCTAGCCGATATCAGTCATTTCGAAGAAATTCAGTAATTTCGGGGGGGGGGTGTAGGTATGGAGAATGTCCATATCAATTAAAATAAGTACTACCTGGGCCAGTAACCAATTTACAATAAAAATAAATTTCTAAAGTTCTGAAAAAATCCAAAATTTCTCAGTTAATTTTTTATTATTACGTATGTTGTAGTATAGCATGAATTAATTTGATGTATTCAGAAGTAAATCTGTACTAGTGAATCACCGAACTTTAAGCAGCTACATTTTGAAATTATTGTATAGAACACACAACTAAAAATAACTTTTGATATAACAATCTGTATTTCTTGTATTCGCACTTTGTCTTAACGGTTTCAAGATATTACCTTAAATGTGCTAATTAAACAGTGGGGAAAACATTTTAAGTTAAGAAATTAGACGCAGAAACGTATTTTCTCTGAATAAACCATTTTTTTTTTAGGACAGATTCGGATTTTTGACTTCCCAGCACATGACAATACCCGCAATCTGGAAAATATTGCTCCGATAATTTAGGCAGGAGAGTGGTGGATAGTTTGGATTTCTTAATGTTAATTTCAATTTATACATATTTCGATATATCTCATAAGCTTTTTAAGCGAATCTAAAAATAATGACATACAATTATAAAATTCGTTTAATTATCTATTCTTTATTATTTAAAATAATTATGACAGAAAATTCTGAAACCTAAGGGGTTACACATTCAACATCATTTTAAAATGCACGATTTCTTATTACGAAATACACAATTTGATTTAAATTGGTCGAATAGCTTTGGAGTTATCATAATTTAAATGTCGTATTCTTTGAAATAAATTATTTCTCGAGAAATAAAATTATTTCTCGAAAGTAAAGAGAAATGATGAAATTCCCTTTTTTTCAAACTAAATATTATTTGATTAAAAAATGATATGAAGTATAAACTAATAAGGATATAATTCATAAATATTTTTAAAAATCGTTCAATTGTGTGTAGTAAAATAACTAATTTCAAATAATATTTACAGATTATGGCTAAATAACTTATATTTTAAGAATCAAAAGCATGAGTTTGTCGTATAAAGTGATGTTTATTCAGAGAAATAAGGTATTTTTTTATCTGTTAAAGTATCATCTGCAAGAAATAATTAACATATCTGATGGTATGCCCCTCATATTCCAATATATTGAAACCCGATCGAAATTTCAAAGGATTATATACTTAGATTATGTAGAGAGATTGGTCATTCCAGGTGATCTCCTTCATTACAAACACTTCACTCATCAGTATAATTAATGTGCTACTCTATGAAGTATACAATATTAATGTATTCACTATGGAAACAAATTAAATATGACTTTCTTAGCCAGTAATAGTGATGTCTTAAATTAGTTTCCAAGTCCAATTCAATAATTTCATTGCATAAGTGTTTCAATTCCATATTGGGTATTGATGTACTTAATAGCAGATATTTGATATTAAATATTGGATTAAGATCTCTTTGCTTATGCAAAGAAAATATATCTGAAAATGTTTGTGTAATTCAGGACTTTTTTTAAAGTACCAATGTTTTTTGTTTTTGTATCGGTAATATATTTCTAAAAGATTTAAAAAATATCTCTTAGCTGTCTCAAAGATCCAAAGATCTAAACTACCATATTTCTAGTCTCTCTCTCTCTGTATATATATATATATATATATATATATATAAACTCCTCCAATTC